GTATCCATCAAACACCTTCTTTTATATTATTATTTCTTTTATATTATTATTTTTTATAGAACTTGAAAATCGTTCGAATCGAGATCAATTTTTCCTTTTGCCACTCGTTAAAAGTTAAAAATAAATTCTTATTCAAAAAGATGGATTGAATAGAGAGAATTGTTATAAAAATAATCGATCTAATCGCGAAATTATTTCTCTCGAAATGATGTTTGATCGATAGTATAGTTATGAAACAATTTTCCTCGCGAAACATCCATCAAACACCTTCTTCTTTATATTATTATTCTTATACAACTTGAGAATCGTTCAAGATCAATTTTTTCCTTTTGCCACTCGTTAAAAGTTAAAAATAAATTCTTATTCAAAAAGATGGATTGAATAGAGAGAATTGTTATAAAAATAATCGATCTAATCGCGAAATTAACTCGTTAAAAGTTAAAAATAAATTCTTGTATTGTTGTGAAACAATTTTCCTCGCGAAACATCCATCAAACACTTTTTTCTTTATATTATTATTCTTATACAACTTGAGAATCGTTCAAGATCAATTTTTTCCTTTTGCCACTCGTTAAAAGTTAAAAATAAATTCTTATTCAAAAAGATGGATTGAATAGAGAGAATTGTTATAAAAATAATCGAAGGGATCGAATTATTATCGGACGACGGACGATTTTTATATTTAACGCAATCTCGAAAATTAAAGCGATGGAGAAAGAGAAGGACGTAGAACACGCGTGCAGAGAATCTCATTAAGAGATTGTTTGATATATTCGTACGCTAGGAAACCAGGTCGTGAACTCACCTCACCCTCGATTATGTTTTTTTGCTCGAAAGGTTGGAACTTCACCACGAAAATGATATTCGTATCGACCGAGCAGTAACCGGACATAGGGATGATTTGGAATTCCTTCGGCAATTTCTCTACGTTCCATTTGAATCTATTTGTTTGTTAACATTTATTTATCATTTGTGGATAATCCGTATCCAAAAATTACTATGATTACTATGAAAGATGAAGAAATGAAAAAAAGAAAAAACGAAATCAAGTATCCATTATGGAGGATAGAAAAAAGGAGGGCGAATTTTATTCACCAACCTTGATCCAAGATCCCCGGTGTTCATCAGAATCATCTTAGATTCTTCGATACAATCCTGAGTCACCGTTCCGAAGAAAATATTGGTTCTGTTTAAGCGAAAATCCGTTCCTACGCAACTTCCACGAACCAAGAACAACGGTATAATGTTCGAATTCGTTTGAAGAGCGACTTTAATCGAGAACGGCTTTACCCTGGCCGTGGGTTTGAAGAAGATCATCACGTTGATACTCTTATTCGGTTTCAGAATAACATTGGTCGACGGCTTGATCTTCAAAACTTCGTAAAGTTTCGGTTCTATGGTGTCCAACACACTGTCGAAGGTCCAGGAACGCTTGGTCTCCATGATGGACGCTTTAGCTAGAATAGGAGCATCCCGCTTCACGTTACAATAACCCAGACTTTCGTAGTAATCGTCATAACCACCCAGATACTGCATCACCCCGAATTTCACTTTGGCCGATGCCAAGCCCTTGTTCACTATCGGGATCTTCTTCACCACCACTTTCATAGGAAGAATGTTACCAAGATCGATTATTTTGTCCCGAGAATTCATTAAATAGATCTAGAAATTGGCAACACCAGATTAGATAGATTAAAATTAGCATCTTGTTTCGGTTTTTTTCAGAATCAAGAAAATCAAGTTTCTCGATAGAAGAATTTTATTAATCTTTTTCTCCAATGGATCCGTATTTTTGTTACTTAATTAATCCTAATTGATTTAACAATCGGAGATAATTCTAATTGGATAATAAAAAATTAAATTAAATTTATCGATAAAAGTTAAAAAACAAACTAATTATTGACAAATTTCTTTACATTTTTTTTCTTTTTTATCGATCCGTGGATTATATTACTCTCAGATCTATTTCATTTCATTTCAGGATAGAGAAATATAAATTTTAGAAACGATTAAGTTTTATTTCTCAACTTTCGTCAATTAATCTTTCGTTTCATCGAGAAACTAGATTTTGTCACGTTTCCTTTGTGGCCTCCATCCCGATGGAGAACCACCTTTCGCCTTATGTCTACACGAAAGTTTTCATTCGGGAATAATTTACTTTATAAGTGATCCCCTCGCCTGTAATCGTTACTTTCCTCTCGTGAAACGAGTTGATCACAAACACCAAACATTCGTGGTACTTTATCTCCTTAAGCGGTCGAAAAGTGATCGGTATGGTGATCTTAGAATGGGCGGCCAACGCTTCAGATATGAAATTCAAATCGATGGAGAGGTAGGGTTTATTTTCGTACTTGCATTCGAGTCTGTGTTACGTTAATTGAAACAATGATGAAAATTTTCGTTTCAAAAATTTTCGGAAATTTGCGGCAATATGTTAATCAATTGGAAAACGATTAAAGCTAAATTAGAATTTTTTTTTTTTTTTATTGAAAAACTCACACGTATGATACGTCTTCGGTATTTGTCACGATAAGCTCCGTCTTGTATGAAACTAATTCGTTCTCCTGAATGTAACAATATCCAAAATCGTAACGATTGAAACTGAATTCGATAGCAGGCTTCTTGGAGAACGCTTTCAGTATAAATTTATAAAATAGGCCGTTGGAAATCTGGAGAAAGTTTAAGAAAAATTATTTTTGAAAATTATTCTTGACATTCTTTTTTCTTTCTTTCTTTTTACGAGTCTTATCATCGACCGTATAATATACGTACTTTCAGCAAAACGCAATGATTTTTTATGTGAATTTTCTGAAACGTTGTCAAAGTTAAGTAACAGCTACATTGATTCTCGCTGGTTAGATGACCTTGTTTCTGAGACACCGTTATGGTGTACGAATTTCTGAACATAATTTCTGGCGTGATGCCGAGCTCCCAAGAGTAATAGAACGCCACTTTGCAGGTATTCTTTATGTCGAATTTGACGGTGATCGGTATTTCGGGTATTATCTTCGCAGCAAAGTTAAAAAAAAAAAAAAAGAAAACGATATTACTTTCTGTTCTTTTCATTTTTTCTTTTTTTTGAACGCTGTGCTCGAAATAAAAATTATTTTCAGACAATGGTCAACCGGTGAAAAATAACTGTCTCTATTAATTAATTATTTAATAGAATTAATATTTCTTCACACACTTTGCTTTTGCTTTTACAAAAATAAGAGAATTAGATTTTACTCTCAAATCGATTCCCGATTAGAGATAATTTTCCTAATTTTCACCTTGCCAAAGTCGATAACGTTCTCCTTATTCTTAACAGCTGTCACGATTTCGTCGTTTAAGCAATAGGAAACCGAGAGTGATATATCGTAAACGGAGGCGATCACTAATATCGTAATCGGTTTTTTCATCAGCTTCACGGCGCACTGAATGTAAAATCTGAATTCGCCGACCCGGGTTGGATAATACTCGATCCTGCGAACGCGAGTAAAAAAAAAAAACGAGTTTCAGTTCGTGCCATTCCGAAGTCGATTAAGGAGAGGGGAGGGGTAGGACAATCACCAGAGATGCTGTTCGCACTTCGACACGAAGGTTCCTGTCATTGGGGTGATGCTGAGCTTTTGAAATTTACCCTCCGAGTAAAGGGATTCTTCCAACACTCTGAACGGTATGTGGAAATTCTCGTTGTTCAGAAATTTTATCGATTCTCTCACGTTGAATCCTGCAAATGAATTAATTTTCATTCGTAATATTTCTTCACCGTCCTCGCCACACTTTTACAGAAATAAGAAAGAAACGATAGAGTAGAGCAGAAAGATAAACAGTCGGTCCCTATCTGTCTCGATATAGAAGGAGGGGAATGGAAGTGGGAGGGGGAGGGGGAGGGAAGAAGGCAGATTGGTAAAGAAATGGTTCGAGAGTCGGACCCAAGATTGTTGGCTTCAGTTTCACGTGTGCCATCAAACAGTACACCAACGGTTCGGTCACGATGCCGACGACCAGGAAAAGGCATTCCAGATTGTATCTCTCGATGGAGAAGAGCCAGAACGATTCGAAGACTCCGATATCGCTTGCCAAAAACGTGAAAGACATGTCGGTACGTTTCCCGCGTTCAGCGATGCCCTCGGTCACCGTGCAGTGAAAATTCGATATCTCGATCCCGCTAAGAAGGGTTCGATTCTTCCACGAGAAATGGTAATCGTCCACGGTAGGGTTGACCAAGTGGAATTTTCTGAAATCGATTCGATTTTGATTCAAACATTTCGATTATGATTCCGATTTCGTTTCTTTTTTCTTTTTCTTTTATCCGAACAATAAGAAAGTTATCGATGAATTTTACATTTATTTCGTATTTTCGTATAGAATTTATGGGGAGAATTCATCATTGAATGGCTTTTATAATCCTGTTATATTTTACTTAACTCGAGTCCAATTCGTCTCTGGTGAATCGTGTAATTCGCGCAACGAAGTTTTTCAAAGTACACTTACCTCACGTGGGTTTCGCCGATGCCGATCACTTTAAATTCGATTACCCTGATGTTCCTCCATAGATCTGGATCGTCTATTTCGTATCCCACGGGACCGGGTAGGTGTGCGTCACGCCTCCCGCTCGATACATAATCGCTCTCCTGCACGTCGAAGTGACAGTACGGTAACAAACTTCTCGCCATGACTGGTATCATCAAGATCGGCAGATGCGGATTCAGATTCTCTATCCTGTATTTTTACAATGTTTTTTTTTCGATATATCTTCTTCGTATTTTTATTTCTAATTTTTTTCTTCTTCTTCTTCTTTTCTTTCGCTCGCATCGATATGCGGTAAGTTTTATGAAAAAAAAAAAAAAAAAAAAAAAGAAATTACATAAAATAAAAATGATTTCTATCTATTCTATATGCACGTATATTATGTACACGCTTCCATCGAATCCTTACTTGCACGTAAGGTATGCCTTGTAATAAAATACATCCTTGGGGGAGAATTTTAATGTACATTCCTCGGATTTTCCGGGCGGTATCATCCCCATCTCAGGGTGGATTGCGAACGGCAAATCGTCGCCTTCCAGCCAACTGTCGGTGGTTCTTCCCGACAATCCGGCGGTGCTGCTGAACAGATCCGATGGCCTGGTCGTGCTCAACCCTTTCCCCATATCCACGCTGTCTGCAATTATGAATAATTTTACCATTTTAGATTTATTTCCTTTGTTCTTTCCTCTTATTTTCGTATACGTCATATTCCCCTTATAGATGTATCCAAATACGACGAGACGAAAAGGGATGGATAGATAATTTTTTGATAATTGCAAATACGGAAAACTCGAGATCCCCTCCTCTAGTTACTATTGTTACTATAATTACCAGTAATGAACGAGGTGCATTGTTGTGAAAAATATTTTGAGTCGTCCGCGCTCATGTCGTCCTCGTAATAGTTTCTTTGACTCATCGCGGACAATGTTCCCCTGAACGATTTCGAAACGTGACTCGAGGATTCCGATATTTTCTGCCTCGAATTCACGTTTGAACTCTCCCCAAGGTATCTCTTCGGGTACTGCTCGTCCATGTTTATCTTCCATATGTACATCATGTTCACGACACCTGGATTCGTTATGGTGAACGTATACTCCCTGGTCTGGGATGAAAAATTATTTCGTAATTATTCTCTCTCCTTTCCGTTTCTTTCCCGATCGATGTATATTACGAAATAATAATTCTACTAAATGGACGATAATTAATAACCTGATACATCAAGGTATCTTTGAAAAATATTTCTTCAACCATGCACGAGTATTCCGAATACGCAACGTTGGCGTTTAACAGGAGTTGAAGAATTTTCGTCGTTCCAGGGACGATGTTGTGAATCGACTCCATGGTCGGTTCCACGATCTTCTTCAATAAATCGTCATTCATCGATGAGTCGTAATATATCTTTCTCCATTGCACTTCCGTTTGCCTGTCGTCCCATGCAATTTCATCATCCGGATTCTCTACCAGTATTTCGCATATCGAACACTCGATAGGAGTCTGGAGTAAAAATCATTAACTTGAAAGAAAGAATTATAATTTTATCGTTTATTAATATATATATTTAAAGAAAGAGAGAAAGAGAGAGAATTGCAATGCGAGATTGCAACTTAATATCAAATTTTCGAGAAAAAGTAATAATACGATGGATGAAATGTTTTGGGATTATTTCGTTCACGATTCAATGACAACAGGTTTCATTCGAGTGAAAACGTACGTTCTGGTGAATTTTGGGCTCCGTTGCCAAGAAAGTAACGACGATCTCTTTGAACGTGAGATACTTTACATGCCCAGTGGATGGCTCGAACACAACGTGATTATGCAAACCCCATTGGAAACGGAACCATCGGTCCGTTGTTTTGTTGATGATCTTAAACGTTTTTTTATACATTTTACTAACGAAACAAAGCCCGTAGTCGAGAACATAGGTGAGATAGGGCAAATACACCGTTTGATTGTTCGACTCTGTGAAACATATACATATTTTATCTTTACAATTTTTGTTGTAAAACTGTAGAGTTAATAAAATTAAATCGATTTGGAAATAATAAATCGTATCAGATTTTTTTTTTTCGTTACCTGACAAGGAGGTCTGCCTGGACGTTAATTTCCGCCTGTAATTTTCTCGATTGCCCATATTCGACGTTCTAAGTTTATTGTCATCGAGGGGAAGACCTTCCAACACGATCGCCTCCACGTAACAATCCCCCTCCAGATTGATCGTTAGATTCTCGTAAGGATTATCGATCACGTGCAAACGAATTTTCCCGTAGAACTTTCCGATTCTTTCGGGCGCAAACGTCGTTTTAAAACGCGCCACGTCTTTGGTCCCCAAGCGTATCACGGTGCATCGATTGTACGGCTCTGTAAAAAAATAAAATCGAAAATATATATATATATATACATATCCTTGATCGAGATGAATAAATAAATGATTGAACAACCGTTGCAATACTCTTCCAAAATTTGCAACAAATGCTGCGTGTCCGGGCAAGGGAAGAAAGTGAACACGTTGTTCGGATCCTCCATTATTTCAACGATCACTTTCGCCTTGATGAATCCGACGTTCTCCAATGTGAAGTATTTGCAAGTGCCTTCGTCGATCAACGTGCGTGGAAAGTTCAAGCAAGGTGTTTCCCGTATTGCATGGATCGGCTCCGTGATCGCCACTTCCGGCACGCAAGATTCCCCTATCAATTGCACTGTCAGCTCGTCCCCTTCCAGATGCGGGGGCAAAACAACTCTTGCGTGAAATTTCGCGCGAAACGTCTGCGTAAAACATTCGTCCATTTTTATATATATATATATATATATTTATGATTACTCGTATAAACGTGTTCACCTCTATGGTGCTCGGAGTGAAGGACACGGTGAACACTTTGTGGTTCATGGGAAGGATCTGTTCGTACATCGGCTCTATGATGAACACGTTGAACCTTGTCATATCGGGTAACAACGAGTCTTCTATGAGCTCGATACTTATGTTCACGGGCACTATGCCGTAATTGAACAATTTGAAACAAGCCATGTGAGTACTCTGCACGCTGATGTACTGGAAGTAGAGACACCTCTCTTGACGGGCAAACACGGTGTGCGGGCCGATCTGTAAGGGAAACGAAGAGAAAACGAAGAGGAGAGATTCGAATCTGCGATCGTCGTAGATTTACGCAACAAATTCCGTGTAATACGCGTATTTTCTCGAACGGTTATAAGGAGAATATATTCGATGGCCGATACGAACATCGTTGGAATACTCGAAGTCTTGAATTCTTTCGACCACGTGGTTTTCGTGAAACATCGCGTCGAAGTTGTGAAAATCGATGCAAGGGATGGACGAGGTCACCGTTAAAGTGATTATCTTCCCGTCTTTGTCTTCGGGTATGGTATCGGGAACGACGAGTACGATCTGCTCGTCTTGGGAGCCCACGAATTCCGGATAACAATTAATGGCGATACTGTCCATTTGACCAACGTCCACGTTACCCTCCAGCTTCGTTATCGTCATCGGTCCCAATATTATTTTTTCCGGTTCCAAGAGAGACCTATATATATATATATATATATCGTTCGATATGGATTATTAACCGATTTTTCGATCGTTTTGTCATCTTCTCGGTCGAATTTAAAAAAAGAAGAAAGAAAGAAGCGTACTTATCATTTTTTACGCCTTTCATTGGTTTTCTTATCTTTCTCGTTAACACCTCGGTTATAATCGGTTTTTTCTTCTCGACCTCTATTGGCCACAATTTCGTCATGTAGACTATGGATGGGTGTTCCACCAATCGAAAGAAATAATGCAATGGAAATTTCCCCGTGTTCTCGATGTTAATGAACATCGTTTTCTCCGTGCATATGGACATTGTTCCAAAGTTCACCACTGGGAACGGGTGAATGCGAAATCTATAGCGATTCCAGGGAGGGAGAAAGGGAGGGGGAAATTGAATAAATCTCCACTTTTATCAACGCGGGGAGAAGTTAAACAAGCGAAAATTCTCAAGACGATATCCCTCGTACCTCGTGTAAAACGAAAGGAGGGAAACTTTTAAAGGGATCTCCGCGATTATAGTAAGTTTCTTCTGCATGTCGATCAAATTGCATATTAATATCGGAACTTCCTTAAGTACCAACTCCATCATCGGATGTAATATCAGCTGTAAAACGAAGAGAACGAAGGGTCTGGCTATTAAAATTCAATTTCAACGCGGGTCTCTTTTTTTTTATTTCATTTTATCTCTATCTAACAAGAGAAGAGAAGGGGGAAAAAGGAGAAAAGAGAGAAACCACAAACCTCTACGATTTTCTCCGTATGCGGCGGAATGGTTCCGCTGCACGGGTCGACTTGGACGTTCTTCTTGAAATTACGAGGCAGATTTAATTCGTTCAGCTTCTCTTTCTCTTGCAACGTTATTCTACACGCGAAAAAATACGCGATCCGCTTCGCTTTATTCGCCACGAGATATAGGGATGGAAAAGAGAGAAAGGCGCACAGTATTATTATATATATCCTCTTACACGTATTTCACCTCATAGTTGCCACGATTTCTCATGGTGAACGCAGCTTTCGCGGGGAATTCCGCTTTTATACTTTTGAAATCGATAGGATTCGCGTCGTTGATGTCCACCATAACGTCATAAGTCTCGCCCGATACTAGGATAATTTCCGTAAAAACGGCATCCGAGTCTTCTTTGGCGAGAAACGCATTGAACTTTACCATTTTCTTGTCCACCATGCCGATCTGTAGGAAATTTCTCCAAGAAATTCTGAATTGACACGCTCAACGGTTCGACCCTTTCGCTCTTCAGTCAAAAAAAAACCTCTTTGCGCTCGAGAGACGACTCTCAGACGTTTCACGCGGCAATTCTTTATTTATGCCAGATCTCGTTATCCCCGATTAATTCGTGAGGATTTCCTTGGCTATTATTTCTTTATTTCTTTATTAGGAAATAATTTAAAATGAAGACAGAATATTCGATCTTAAATTCCTGCAAAATTATGGTCTTGACAGTATCTCGAACGTTGGTTCAGATCGTGAAGCCTTAAAAAAAATTTCAAAAATAAAATTAGCGAATTCGAGCGAAGATGAAATTGATTTCGAATTGTTGGGAAACGAGATCGATCGTGTTCATTAAGCGTGACATTAAAGAAAACGAAAGCAGCAAGATTCTTCAACAATTCAGAATGGACTTGTGAAGAAATTTAATTTTACGTTATCCGTAAGGTGACTGCTCATCGAGCGCAAAGGATCGATCTTGATTCAATTAAATAAATTTTTCAAGGAAAACTAAATAAACATACATCGATATACGAATGAGAATTATTTTTTTCTTAAAAGCAACGTTGTTACGACGGCAAGAGGAGGCGAAAGACCGCTCAACGCTTTTGACGAAAGGGTTGACAGTTGGAAAGGGAGGGGCGTTACCGTGTTAGCGTTGTACTGGAATTCCACTTCTCGTCTGCTGTGGGCATCGATCATTCCCTCGTGAGGTGTGAACGATATTTGAGAATTGACGGATTCCTCGAATTCCAAGAACCAGAAGAACGACACCGGAGTATTGTTTATAATCGTCAACGTTCTGTATTCCGTTCGATAGAGCAGAGTGCGACCGAAGAACATATTTTTCCCGTCCAGTTCGATATCCAATTTGGTGCCCTCGTTTTGAAGCTGAATTTTCCCGTGATTCCAACGCGGGGCGTGAAAAAATAAAAATTATATACCAAGCTTTGGATTTTCGAGATTTAAATTCGAGATTTGAATTTATATATTTATATACACTCAAATTTCAAAAGGATTTTAACATTGGATTTCCCGTGGAAATTTCAAGATAATTACCACGAGGATTTCGACTTTCGGGTTGTTCGTGATGCACATTAACAGCTTCGTTTTGATGATCCCGAGTTTGGTCGCGACGGATGTCACGATCAATGTCGCGCAATTGCCTTGCTGCGTGAATTAATTCGATCAATTAAACGAAGGAGAGATGATTAAACGAGACATTGTCGAGTGGGTGAACGTACGTCGATATAAAGCATCTGTGGTTCGATGGAAAAGCAGTCGTTTTCGGAAAGGGAGAAGAAAACTTCCACCGGCACTTCGGAAATGTTGCAAAACTTGAGCCGAGCTTTTCGATAGTGCGGCCTGGGAATAGGTAAGGCGACACAAGTTTCAACGGATTCGCAAACTTGGAGCGGAACGTTCGATTCCCTTCGATTTCAAATTCCCTTGGATGGAAATTGAAATCGGTTCGTTCCACCAACAGCTTGTTCCGATTTATTTCGCCTCGCTCGAATTGCGAAACAGGGAGAATAATTAAATAGAGAATAATAAAAACCCAGTTTTGGATAATATGTATATAAACGTAAAAATATTGATTTCTTAGAAGAAAAAGTAATACGATTATCAAAAGATGATTAAAAAAGAAAAAAGGAGGAAGGCGATAACAAACTTTTGATCTTGATGGAAAAGTAGCTGGGATCCAAAGTCGTACAACTCCGTGTCGTAAAAGTATACGGAATTGTCTGTCACGTGCAATTTGGTGGCCATGGTCTGCAAAATATTCGCAGATCAGATTTAGAAATAATGGTGGAAAAAAGCACGAAAGGAACGAAAAATTGAAAGGTTACTTTATACACGGTTTGTATACTCGTTTAATTACTTTCGTGAAAATGGTATCAGGGTTCATGTCGAGCCTCGGCACGTCCGCGATACCGACAACGTTTATATCGTAAGTGATGCAGTTCCCCTCAGCTATCGTCACGGCGTACGTTTCCTCGTAGCGGCCTGTCTCTTCCGGTTGAAATCGGATCTTGAACCTCTGACTTTCGCCCGGCAGCAATATCCATCGTGGCTTCAACGGCTCTTCCACCATTGTTTCCGATGCCAAGCACAAATTCGCGTCCCTGCTCTCGATCGTCAAAGATTGATTCTCCTTGCTCGTCGATTTTTGCCCCTCCATCTCCCTGTTCGACGGATTCTTCCTCCTTCTTCGATTTTTCTTAACGTTGCTCTCCTGCACGCTCAACTCGCTCGTGTTGTTCGACTCGAAGGTGCAGGAAACTTCCATGGTCGGCGTTAGGGAAACCAAATTGTAAACTACTGTATATAACAAATAACGATGAATTCACGATTAATTGTTAATCAATGGTTTACGAGAGAAATATTGGAAGAAACGATATCCTACTGCTTGGAACTTTTTTCACTCGTTTCTCGATAGACGTCCATCTGATGATGGAATACATTTTCGGCCGAAGATCTGGCTCGGGCACCACCTCGACGGCTGTGTTAATCGAAGATACGTTAATTTTAAGCGAGTTTGAATTCGTCGATTCAACTTACGAATGGCAAGCTTTGCCGAGGTATTTTCGCCCATTTGAGAAACGACCATGTCGTACATCGTCTTCTCCCAAGGATCGCTGGATTTCACGTACCATATGTGGAAATTATTAAGTGGCACCTAGTTTAAAAATTTTTGTACGTATCTTTAGGTTTGTGTATATATACACATATATAGTTTTCTATGCAATAGTTGTTGCATTGTTGTGAATAAAAAATTCGTTATAAATTACCTCTCGAATCCCCGTATCGGAAGGACCCACGTCTCTGGATCTACCGCTTCGTGGCACTTTAGACTTGATTGTAGGAGATGCTTCCTAAACAGGAAATAATAAACCGTTGTCGAATAATCGATACAAAATTAAGATATGGATAAAAATATAACAACTATCGTCTTTTTTATAGGGTCCCAATTATGAAGGACATTTTCAATCAACGAAAGTTCGGAATAATATTTATCCATAGCCATCATGATTTCTTTAACTTCGGGCAGAATTATGGTTTCTTCTTTCCCTACGGGTATAAACATCGTGAGAGAGATCGTAATTCACGACACATATTCACGCTTATTCCGTTCAGATTCTATTAATTACTTCGTCTCGAACTGTCTCTACTCCTCGTTACTTTACTCGTCTCTTGTTTGCTGGAGGTTATCTTCGAGGTTTTACTAACTTCCTTTACTGTCTTCGGCGTTTTCGTGCTCCGTTTCGACACCCGTTTGGATATCTTTATTTTCGGAACTTCCTGAGAATAGAAGGAAAAAAAGAAAAAAATGGTCGTATATCGTAAGTTTACGTTAAATCGAGCAGATTTAAATCTTCTCTTCGAGAGAAGCAACGTTGAAAGTTTTCCAATTTCACAGAAAAATAAATTTCTAAAATTATCCTGTCGTCGATAATGTAATCGATTTTGAATCTATTCTCTTTCTTTTCCTTTCTTTCGAGGGATGAACAAAATTAAGAACCTTCCTCTTTGTACGTTCTATCATCCGTTCCATAAATCGAGTTCGCCTACGAGCCGCCTCCTCCTTTTTACGGGGTAGAATGGTATCTATGTACATCTTCTTATCCTCGTTGGAAAGTTGATCGTATTCGGATGCCGACATCTCGTCGATTTCCCGTATCCTTTGCTTCGGATCGGGCTTTTCCTTCTCTGGAAAGAAGGTGAAATTACAACAAACGTTCGATCGTCGAATAAGAATGAACTGTACCGATTTCTTTCGTGCGTTGCTCGACTTTGTTCTCGTAGCAATTCATCGAGTTAAGAAACGTGACGAATAGGAAGTATTCGATGTAACCGACGATCCGCAACACAGCGAGCAAAGCCTCGAACACGTTATTTTGGAAGAAATTGCTCTTCAAACTTTGCACGACGAAACCTCGTTTGAAATCCTCCGAAGACAATCTGCGAATCGTTTCATCTCGAATATTAATGATAATTCTATCAATTTTCCCCCCTCACCCTTCCCTTAAAAATCATAAGAAAGAACCTTTGTTGAAGAACTTCGATTATTAATTCGGGATCAATGTCACGGAACGAGAAAGAAACGATTTCCTCCTTTTTCCTCGGACTCTTCCCTTTCAGTTTGGGCGATTCGCGAAGATCGAGTATTTTCTCGAGCAATAAAACACTTTGAATCTTGTACTCGTATCTCGTCAAAGGGTCGAGCAACTCCAATTTCTCGGTGGGCGGAATTTTAGAAAATTCCGTGATGGGATCGGGATCCGGGGGAAGCCGAATGATCGCTTCTTGCAACATCGACACTTCGTTCTTGGTAGATATCGGCGACGTGTTCTTTTTCGACGAACTTTTCGACGATTTCTCTTTCCGAGAATTCTTTTTTCTACTCGAAGTTTCTTTGGTCGACGCCTTTTTGCTCGACTCTGATTCGATGTCGGTGCTTTCCTGCTCCAAATATTGCCTAACAAATATATAGCGTATATTTCATGTATTCGAAGGAAAGAAAGGGAGAGGAAATAAGAATACTTCGCGTCTCTAGTTATCTATCGTATATTATATTTTTCGACGATTCACGATCAATGATTGGGTCTGGATCGTACTTCGATTTCTCAAAAGCCTCGATGTATTTTTGATAGACGTCGTCGATGATCTGTCGAAGCTGAATCGCGCACGTGCTCTTGTTGAACGCAATTATTTCGGTGATCGCTTTATCGATGCCGAGAATAGGAATTCCCAAGACTTTGGCGCTTTTGCACGCAGTCTCTTGATACTCTGAAACGATAGAAAATTTCGAGAATATAAGGAATGTGTATAGTCAAAGTTAAGGAAAGTAGTCATTCAACGTTCATTAAATACCCGTAAAAGGTGCTCCATGAAAAATGATGCAGACTTTCTTCTCGGGAAATTTCTTTTCCAAATCTGAAATATCGATTTCCGATTTTTTCTCCATGCTCTCGAAAAGTTCCTTCACCGGATCTTTCATTTTCAACCGTAAATCTGGATTCTTATGGAGATTGTCGATGTAACCTCGAAACAGGGGAAATTCTCGTTGTTAGCCAAAACTGAAACTTGTACGTTGCTGGAGACTTATTTATTTAAACCCGGTTAACAGGAAAAATTTACGGAAATTGCAACGTTTCGTTACGGGGAGGAGAAAAGGAAGAGAAACGAAGAAGAAGAGGAATAATATAAAAATTTACAGAAGAGAAGACGTTGAATTTCCTCGGGATCTGTGGTGGGTAGGGGAACATCGTTCAGCAGTGTTTCATCAAAAATTGAAAAGGTAGGGCAGTTCCTCCTTTCCGAATCCGTGGTGGACAAATCGCTGGCAATCTCATTCTTCTTTCGACGACGACTAGATCCACGAATACTCGTTCTCTTCCCGTACTGATTCATTCCTCTCCGTTTCTTTCTCTTCCTTGATAACTTGTACCCTTTCTTTTCGCTCTTCTTCGTCGTGTCCTTCTCGACGCTCTCGAAGGTGAAAAATTCCTCGCCAAATCGATCCTCTTCCTCCATCTTGTCCGTAATTAACGACTGGGCCATTTCGTTCAATATCTCTTTGTAAAATTTTACCAATTGCCATGGTATCATCGGCTCGCCAGGCTTCTTCAGAGGCAACAGTATTTCCTTCATGTTGTAATATTGCAACAGAGTTTTCTTTATATCTTCCTCCAACTGAAAATTTCTGGATAATCCGTTGTTTAGTGACAAATAACTATACCAAGATGGGAGGAAAGGGGGAGCAAAATGTATTAGAGCCTGGTCGCTTCGTTTATTTTTCAAATTATAAGTAATTTGGTATTTGAAAACGCCTGTACGCAGGCAACCGTGGTAACCGAGTTTTCGGTCGGTCATGCAGTGAGAAAGAGTTTCAGTGCCGTATAGAGGTACTCGTGTGCCCTGTGACTCGATTTTTTTTTTTTTTTTTTTTTTGGAAACTTATTCAGAATTTTTATGATACAATAAATATACGAAGATGACCAGACTCTTACTCGTTCTTACTCGTCCAAATGATGCCAAAAGAACTCCACGGGATAATGGCACGTATTTTCAATCGTGAAATCGATTTCTTGGATTACCGTAAACGGAATAACGGGGTTGAAATGTATCTTGGACTTGATTATATTTAAACTCTTTTCGATTCCACGTCCGGTCAGCGAGATAACGGGCATTTCGAGGCTCATGTCCACGATTATGTTCAATTTCGTTTCTATGTAGCACTGTGGAACGATAAACTTTTTCGATGAAAAGGAAATTGCTTGCCAAAAAATTTGCATATCGTTTTTTTCTTTCTTTCTATTCCTACCGTCTTTCGAGGCTTGAAATACACGCGAACGATTTCAAAATGGCCCGGTGCACTGCGATTCGAGTCGTAGTCGACGTAAAATGGATAATATTCCTTCCGCTTCTTCCGAGGAGCGCCCACTAATCTTGTCTCCCATTTGCAGTCGATTAATCCCCTGGAAAAATATTTAAGATCGGGGAATTTGACGAAAGGAAAATATGCAAAGATATCAAACGCAATTTAATTGAAATTAAATTGACAGTGTAAATGTTGGATCGTAGAACGTTCAAGAGAGCCACGTTGCGTGCGACTGTATTTGCACTTTCTTCCATCCGTTTCAATTCCATCCTGGTAAATAAGGTGGGCGGATTCAAAATACTTGGCTTGGCTCCTCGAATAGAAATTATTTTGATTGAAATTGAATTTTAAAGAAAATATATAAGAATAAGACTGATGGTCTTTTTCTTCGAAAGAAAACAATGGCGTTCGTTGCATGAATTTATTCATATGGAATAACGTATCCCTTTTGGATGTATTCTGAGATAAAAAAAATTTCGTACAAGAATGGAATTGCGTGTTTCAAAAGGCAAAAAAATTCTTAACCACTTTCTACAATTCTGATGCAAAACATAGATGGAAAGCAATTTTCTCGAAAGCATTCCGGCGAAATTAAATTCATAAAGTGCTTCGTTGTTGAATGTTACGCGATATAATTTCTTGAGTTCTTATTATAATATATACAAAATTGAATTTAAAAAAAAAATAATAAAATATAAAATAAAATAAGAAACGGAGATAAAAATGAATTAAAAAAAAAAAAAAAAAAAAAAAAAAAAAAAAAAAAAAAGGGGGAAAAAAAAAAAAAAAAAAAAAAAAAAAAAAGAAAAAAATGATACGATGATTACGCTAATGTTATGTACGAGAAAATGAAGAATAATCAATCAGTTACGCCAATGGTTCTCACAAACACCGAGAAACAAGACTTTTTTTACCAATGGAAAAAAAGCTGCCCACGTTCTCATGAGCTACACACAGCTGAGTCAACAGTTTTTTCTCGCTTCTAGTACTCCTGTACGCATTTCCAGGAATTTATATAGGTCACTCGGCCGAACTTCATTCATTTCGATATTTTCACACACGAGGATCTACACACGAGGATGTAAATCCAAATATTCTCTATACAGATCTCAATCGGAACAAAGGCAGAATAGAATAATTTGATCTGCTGTGATAATCAAATGTGACAAAGATTTCTTAATTATTGTGAAATGTAATATGAAGATAAAAAAAAAGCATATTAATCGAAATTACAAGAAACACGTAGAACATTGATCGCAACGAATAAAATGCTCGTCCATTCGAGTACTGTGTAAATATTCTGATATGGCTTGAAAATTCATTTATCTATCTATATCTATATATTATCTATATATCATTATCTATATATCAGTGCGCAAGTTATTAGAACGATGAAAAAAAGGGAAAAGTTAAAAAAAAATATACTTAATTCTTTAATAAATAACTATCTAATAATCTCAAAAGTAAAGCGAATCTTATTACTCGTTTTTGACCAGGATATTAAGAACCAAACATTCTCCCACGACGACATCTTGGAAATCCAAAAATTTTGTATTGACAGTTACGTATGGATAAGTTACTATCCCTTTTATGGTCACAGGTATCGTGCATCCGTGTGACACCTAAAATTAATTTTTAACCTGTTTATTAACTCAGATCAAATTTGAGATGACCGGGCTTACTTCAATGTAAATCGTGTATTTCACGTTCGTGCTCTTCTCGGAGAATTTCTCTTGGGTTGGATACCAAGTCACTTGTAGAACGGCGTAATCTCCGACCGGCACGTTGATGTTTTTCATTAAATGCACCACGATACCGTTTTTCGCGAGATAATCTTTCTTTCCTAACGGTTTCATTTTCATGTTCACGATCCATGGCCCGTAATTAATTATATTGACCGAATAATGAGCGATGCGTTCGATGATCACGTAATTCATATCTGGGAACAAGGTAAATCACTGATACTTATCTTATTAAGTATTAAAGGAAATCTCTATGAATAATTGATCGTTTTTGAAATGAGATACACACATATATATATATATATATATATATACACTCTCGGTCAAAATGGCGTGCGCTGAGTGAGTTATAACGCGACTTTTACTTCCGCATGCAGAATTAATTCCAATTCAATTTTTATATAGGCATGTGATAACAGCAATAAAAGATGTTTAATATCTTTTGCGATTGAATATCACGAAAAGGAAAAAGACACAAAGTATCTGTATATTCATTGTACTTATTTTTAATTTTGTTTCCTCAATGAATCTTTGTTTGTTTTTTTTTTTTTTTTTTTTTAGATAGAAGTCTAGAAATATTTCTAAAAATTTATCGAAAAATCCCTGGCAATTGTCACTTTTTTTCTTTATTTTTTTGTGTAAGAGTGTACGTTTAAAATTTTCCAATCGAGATTGCATAATGTATCGGATCGAATAATGTAAATGTGCACAATTACGTTCGATAAAGTAAAAGAAAAAAAGAAAAAGATTAAGAGGAGGAAAACGTACCGATAATATACTCGCATGAAAAAAGTTGGGGGATCGGCTCCTTCTTTTGAATCGTATGCTGCATCAAGATGTATGTATTTTCATCGATGAACTTCTTTGCGCACAATCTTTCCACAGCCATGTCGATGTCCATCGTTCGTGGAAACGTCTCCTCGTGCGAGATAACGCACCATTCCTCGGCTCGAATGAAACAAATATAATATCAAATATAAAAGAAACGAGGAACATTCTTTAAAAAAAAAAAAAAAAAAAAAAACACTCGAGAGTTGATTAATTCTCTCATTTTTTTATTCGAATGAAAACATTAACATTTAACCACGATAAATCTCAACGATTCTTATTATAAAGTTAAATTCCTTGGATGATGACGATAAAATTATTTAAATTTACCGGCTAGTATTTCCATGTCTGTTTCCAATAAATCGTTTTTCTTCTGGGCAACCTCTTTCTCCACTGTCTGTGCGACATTTAATTCGATTAATGTTTCTGCGAATGTTCGGAAAATTGTCAAATTTCTTACGTTATCCGTTATGTAATCCGTCAATGATTGTATCGCTGAATATTCCAATTCGATGGAATGGTGCTGGTGCAATTTTCCTTTGGGAATGCTCAGATAGACTTGGGGGAAAACTCCATAAGCGACTACTTTGATCATGATGGGCATTAAGTGACCAATCTGAATGGAAACAGTACAAGAATATAAATATTCAGAACCGTAAAAATAATTGAATAAAAATTCTTTTTTTTTCAGAAAAATATCCCCTCAGAAATTACAGGAAAATATCAAATTAATAATAAAGCTAAAGTTTTTACCAACAAAATTTGGCAATATAATTGGAAAGGAGATGAAATTCTTCTCAGATTGTTTAAATTTTATCATGATATCGATCGAAATTTTCAACAATGATAATCTTGTATCATATCATTTTATATACTCTTAAACTTTCAGATAATATTATACATTTTTTCATCATTCTATTCAATTCCAATTGTAAAATTTATTTACACACTTTATATACTTTTATGCATATATCCTTTCAAGATATAATATTTTATGATAGAATATAGAAAAAAAATATAATATTTTACAAAAATAAGTGTATACAATCTTTACAACGTATCGTCGTATTACAGAAATTATTTAAAAATTAAATTGCGAGGAATTGTGTATTTACCTCCAATTGGAAATGATGATCGATACGACCAAGCGTTATCGCAATATGATCCACTTGAAATTGCACGCACGATTCAGGATTCACACAGCCGCTCACCGGCTCGATCTTTAATGGATGTAAATTGAAACGATTGAACTCCTCGTCGAAGGTCTTTATAGCATCTTTTATCTCGAAATCGAACGTTATCGTGCAGATATTTTTTAAAGTGACATTCTTACATTGGCGTTGCAGAAACAACTAGATATATTAAAAAAATATATTCCATTCAAACGTATTTAATAAATATTACATTTTACATTTTCGAATATTAAGCATGGATACTTGTTGGCCAAAATCGATAACATCGTTGTCGATATCGTATCGAACGTTGTCCGCCCGGGCGAATAGATGAACATTCTCGGTTGGCCCCCGTAAAATCTGGCAGACAGCTGTAGCTTTTATTTGAAGCCATTCGAAGCCATGAAATCCTATGTGAACTCGTTGCACGGAATACGGAAGCACTGTTCCCTCGTTTGGAATAATCTGCAAAACCTGAAAGTATATTTTTACGGATGGATTTTCGTGGATGGCGATAAAATCGAATCGTTATATTTCTTTGTGGAAATAATAAATATATTCGAATTTTAGCTTCGAAAGAAAATCTTTTAAAGCTCGAACGGAGGGAAGGAAGGATTATATATATATATCTCTTTAACATCTCCATTTCATTTCCATTAACCTCGTTGATGTAATCGATTCGTGGAGGATAGTCATTCATGTTTTGCAACACGATCAGATCGTCGTCCTTCTCGAAATATTGTTCAACGATTTCCAATAGAAATTTTCTAATTTCTTGTTTGGATGCCGATTGATAATTATTTTTCTCGAGGTTCCCATCTATCGTTTCTTGTTTCTCTGAAACGGGCGCTGTAGAAAGAAAAGTGACAATTTTTCGCGATTAACGGGAGGAAGTGTTAAGAGAGTGTCGATCGTTCGTACAATTTACGGGTGGCGCTATCGCGTGTCCGTTTCCACTTCCGTTTTGCCTGTCGCTTGTGCAAGGATCTTCGCATGTCTCGGCTGCCACGAAAACGTCCTTCTTCAACTCTAATTGTTCCTGCGACGGACATCCAGGGCATCCCTTCGAACAATTTAGATGGCACGTATGACACATTGACGAGCACGGTTTCTTAACGCGCGAAGAATTCTCTCCGCGCGTGGAAAATTAAACGATAATCGAACTCACCAGTTTGACGGGCGTATCGCGTTTTATATCGATGGAACTTTCGAGCCACAGGAATTTATACACAACCGATACGGGCCCGTTATTGGTTAACGTCAACATCTTCTCGGCGCTGCAGCCCAACTCGCAGTTAATTGTAAAATCGTTCGGCTCTATGAGAATGTTTGGATAATTCACGTAACCCTTGCATATTATTTTGTCCTGAAAGATGGATATTTTTCCTCGAATCGTTAATGGTTCTCCGATTCGAAATTGGATTTGGCGATCGACATCGATTACAACTTTATGAAAAATGTAAAATTTACGCGATTAGGATGTTCCCGATACTCGAACAGAAGAACCTCCTCGTAGATTTTCGAATAAAAATTCTTGGTTTTTGTGTCGAAGGAGAAGAAAACGGTAATTTTCGTGGAAATTTTATCGACCAGAACAAGTTTCATCGTTTGAACCCGTTTTTTCTTAGGTGTTATCAAATAAAACGGCTCTTTCGTCGAAAGAGTCACGTTCAGATCCAGATTCGACTGATTGGTCACGAGTAATTCATCTGGAACACAAGAATAATCATAAACAATGTTCGGAAGAATTCTAATCCCACAACGAGGTCTGACAATTAACGAATTCGCATTCAAAATATACTCGTTTTATTAATTTCAGTTGTCTACTTGTCTTAAAAACGAATTAATTATTTTGCTTTCGATATTTCATATTAATTCTTAGCTTTCATATTAATTCGTTGACAATCATGACTAGTCTCGCAAAATATCAATGCTGCTCTTCGACAATAATTGACAACGAGCATAATTTAACATCATATTACATTCTTTACAATATCAGAGGTTCACCATCATTGATCAATTTAAAAATCGATTTAAGTGCGTTTCCAAAAATGAATTTAAATTTAAATAATCGCACGAATCGATAATAATTAATTTACCACGAATTCGATTGTCAAACCTCCGCCTATATTTCATTCAACTAAAAACCTGTTTGCTGCAATTTATCTTCAGTGGGGCATTTGTCCACGCGAAATTCTAGCATCTTTTTATTGAACACAATATATGGTTCCGTCAATGTAATTGTGAAAGACGACGTGTCGATCAATTCCCTTTTCCCTATGTCTTGTAACTGGCCGAAGACGTACCACTTTTCCACCACAAGCTCGTTCCTAATACATTATTGAGACTCGAATAAAGAGAAAATTCTTGTTGCACGCGAATAATTATTTCAACAAATATACTCACACCTCCCAGAATAATCGGCAATTGACCTCTCTCGTTTCTCCGGCGGGTATATGAACGATTTGAGGCTCCACTTTGAACTTGCTGCTACATTTTCAAAGATTTATTCAGCGTTAGTATAACGCCGTGAACGTGAGAAACGGTTCTTTCTTACTTTTTCGTAGACAACAATTGGCCACGTCGGAAATGTATATCTGGTTCATTTATAAATATCATTTGATACCCCACGGTGCCCCGATTCATCAGTGTTATCGTGCGATTTATATGTTGATGACTGTACCAATAACAATTATTTGAATATAATATAATTAATATAAGAAGCTCGAACCTCTTCACGTTCTAAACTCGCGTTTGTTTCGAAATTGCATTTTGAGTTAAATGGAAGAGTCGTGCGATGTGAAGAGCCGATCAGTGAAATTAATCTTACTTTAATTTTAATTTAAATAATGGCGTAAAAGCCGAGTTAATACTAAAGCTATTCTTTTCTTAAATATTAATTTTCAAACACGAATTACGCCATTATCTATTCTCGAGGATGCCTCACGATTCCTTATTATTAATTTAGATTGTGAGAGGATCTGAGAATACGATGAAATTCGTTCGACGAATGTTAATGGACGATCGAAACCTGAAAAGTAGGCCCCAGTCGAAGACAGGGAAGATTTGAGGAGTGAAAATCACGCTGCATCCGTATCCGATCACTTTTACCTCCACGTGAATGGTTCTGCTGTCGATCACGGACAACATGATCTTGTCTTTGTACACACCAGCGTTCACTAGGAACACTTTGATGGTAATGGTTTTCGACTCGTGAGGCAACAGATCACCAAACTCTGGATCCATGATCCACGATGAATTGTTCTGTTTCTTTAAGAAGAAGAAGAAGAAAAGTCAACGATACTCCTCGAATTATATTAATGAATAACCCTTTGCGCTCCAGGCCGAATCCAACACGATTTTCACGGTTGATGAATTTCTTAGCTAGCTTAAAATGATTATACGTTAATTCATACATGAATTAACGTATAAAACTTTTTAATATTTTATATATCTTTACGTATAAAGAAAGAAAATTTGGTGGATATTAAAATCTGTTGTTTTGCGATATTTTAATAATAAAGTGATTGGTTTGTCAGGGCAAGTATCGCGATGAAATGTCTTTCATCTTTCTTATTTCATTGAGAGCAAACGTTACAATAACGTGCTCTCACATTCATCGTCTATTATTCTTATTTTTCATCTTCTTATACTACATCTCTATTTTCATCATTATTTTCTTTCTCTCAATTTCTTAACGAATAGAAATAATTTCGTTATTCAATAACGAAAAATTAAACTCATCTTCGCACAAAACTCAAAAACTTTGAAAATAATATTTCTATTCCCATGACTATCAAATTCAGATTAAATGTAGCGAAAATGTAATTCGATCCGCATCTAATTTGATATAAAAAAAATCTATTTTATCTATTAAAATTTATTTTTTAAAAAATTAGATATAAATAAGTTCGAATAACATTTAATTTCTAAATCTATGTTCATAATTTTAATGTTGCAAAAAAAAATTATATAAATATAACTCTCCTATTTTCGAGATATTTAAAATTTTTAAAAAAATTTTAATCGATCCTGATAAAAAAGATAAAAAATTATAATTCTATTTTCTATTATTTTATAAATTTTCATTCGCATTACTTTTTATTATAAATAAAAAAATTATTATTTCAAAATTATTAACTAAAAATTTTTTCTAAACTTTTAAAAATACTATAATTTTAAATTTCAAAGAAAATAAATATTTAATATATTAATCTGATATTAAAAAAATTCATTCGACAATATATTATTCTACGTTTTATAAAATTATATACGTGGATAGCTTAGAAATCTATTCACGAAGCGATATTTCAAAACAATCGAACGTAAATAAATATTATCGCCGCATCGAACCGAGTCGAATGACTGAGAGTCACCCATTGGAGCGCAAAGGGATAATCAAGTCGGACGATGAAAAGAAATATACCTCTCTAGCGAATTGAGTGGGGATAGGTGAATCGTTGATCAGCTCGAAATTCATCTTCTTCTCCTCGAGAACTTTCACCCTGCCAAAGTCCAGGATGCTTGGATCCGTCGAGACAACAGCCCCCTGACCGGTGCACGTTATCCTCACGTACGATAATGGAAACGTGCTTCCCATTGCATACATACTGATCGAACAATATACACTTGTACACTCTATCGATGTAAGTAATTTAAAAGTAATCGAATCTGATCGTTTTTCTTTTCTTTTTACTTTAACGTGAGTGTGTAAGTGCCTAAATCCTTCATCATAATAGTGACATCGATTGTACACGATTTGTGAGATTTCACGTATCCTTGATACTTGGAGAACGAGCATATCATCGTTTCGTCTTCCGTGACCTGAATCGGGAAAAAGAAAATCCAATTTTTGTACCCTATCTTTATAAAGCAATATCACCAACATTTCCTATATAACCGTGGCGTGCCGACTCGAGTCAGTTGAATTTTATTATTTCATGAACAATACGAAAGAGTCTTAAGAAGAGTCTTTTTTCTTTTATTCCATCAATTATGGGAAACTTCGATTTTTTACGCGGCTTCGAACAACGAGGATCGAAAACAATCTATATATATATATATAAAATAGTTACTTGTTGCGGTATGAAATAAAAGTATCCGTCTATGTCCGAATTGTTGGTCACGTCGATGGTTCTGGAATACGGATAATTGAGGAAGCAGAATCGGACCGTGATGTCCTGGGGAACGATCGTCAATGGAGACACTTTGCCGCTGAATGTGATCGGCAACAGGACGGGGTGAGAGCCGGAATCCCACATGTCGACTTGAATCATCGTGTGACCGATGCGCGCGATATTGGCCGTGTAAATCAGCTATGGTGTAGTTTTCGAATAGCAAGCCATGATTCGAAAAACTGTGAATGGAAAAGGGAGAAGGGGGATCGTAGGTACCTTGATTCTCATGGAATCGTTGGAAGCTACAACCCCTTCCTCGGGCGAGACCTCGAATTCTCGGGGATTGCTCGGGAAGGACGGTTTCGTTTGACTTCTCGCGAACTCTTCGTGAGTCAATGCCACTTCATCCCCGTCGTTCAGCACGGTTAAGGTGAAGGCAACTGGTATCAGGGCTAGATTATGCAAATATACGTCTTGCCTCGTACTGAAACCTGGGATGAGGATCGTTCGATTATTTTCTTTTTTTTTTTTTATCTTTTATTAAATGATTAAATGAAATGTGAATAATATTCAAGAGCTTTGTATTCGATCTTCAAGATTTTCGACGAAATCTTCTTCCAAATGCACGACCCTAATTCAAAGATAATGTCACGTACCGAGGGCCGTCGTCCCGAAATCGAGGCTCTCCTTGTCGAAGTGCAGAGTCGGGCATATGATGCAACCCCTGTAACACGCAAAGAGGCGACGCATCGTGAGAAGGGGTGTCTCGTGTCGTGTCGACCGGTAGATCATTCCTCCATCGATCCCTTGCAACGTACTTGATATGCAAGCTGAGCACCTCGAGGGTCTCTTTCACCACGAAATCGACCCTCTCCACGAATTCACCCTTATAATTCGAGGAAAACGACAAATTGAAGGATTTCAGCTCGTCCGGTTTCAGATTGAGACTGGGGGGTGTCACGTTGATCGTGCCACCGAAATCGGTTGGCTTTTCCTTGTAAATCAGTGTTCCGCAAATGTGCCCTCTGTTCCCAGCTATTATCTGAAACAATGGGGGAGGGTTAATAAACAATATTCTTGATTTGATTCGCGGTTTTTGGGGTGAGATTAATTTTGACGAAAGAATGGAAGAATCGCTACGAAATCTGTATGGGATGGATTCGTACCTCGTAATTGTGCACGGAACACATGTAGATGTTGCTCAAATCGATGGTGAGAACGTTCAACTGTAAAATCGGTCCTTTCCCTGTTCCGTAAAGACTGTTGGCGAAAGAATATTATTTGGCGTGAAAAGCGGGAGGGGAAGGAAGAATCTTATATATATAATTTTTCTTACGTCACTGGTATCCTTTCTTCGCGACCAGTTACCTCTAGATAAGCGGTGCTCGTTATTTCACCGAGCTCCACCGCGCGAAAATAGACTGTCACTTCGATGGACGATTGCGGCCAAATTTCTGCCTCCTAGGGAAGGGGGGAAAAAAACTCTTTCCAATCGTAAATCCATTCGAATTGAACGATAAAAGGAGGATTTTGGATAATAATAATTGGATAATAATAATTTGGATTTTGGAGGATGAATTCGATTCTTGAAATCGAAATATACTCACTATGGGTGAGAGAAAGAAATACATGTTTTTATACTCGAACGTTTCTTTCACCAGCGACTCGAGCTGATCCGTGTAGATACGTTGATAAATCAGTTTATGGATATTAGGTGTACACACGTTGTAATAATCGAGGTTGACGCAACGGGGCAGCTCGTTCTCGTAAATCAGTTGGCTCAATTTCTTGTAACTGCGATTGTAAAAAGTTGATTATATTTTTGTTACTCGAACAAGAATTGTACATATCGTCTCGCTCACTGTTCTTTTCGCTCGTTGTCCGCCTCGATGCTCTCGAAAAGCATCCACTTATACTTGACCGTGTAATTGCTTCTATTGTGGATCAACAGGGTCTTGCTCCTCGACAGGCCCAAGAATGTCTCCTCCAATCTGACTGTGCCTCTGTCGATTCGAATTTGACAATTTTCGGCCGAACTCTGCAGATCGATACACAACTTTTCACCTGGAACAGATATCAAACGCAACAGATATCGATTCTCGATCGCCTTCGCCTATTGATATATACCGGTGTCGTATTCGAGGAACAGGTTCGCCTCGAAATCTCCAGCCTTGTTGGACAAAAAGTGTACGATAAACTGAAGCGATTCCTCCTCCTCTATTCTTCCCTTCGAAGGCTCGATCCAGAAGCAAGGGCTGCAATTTTATGCGATCGTTATCGTCGTTGTTGATGTTGTGCTTTTTTTCTTTTTTTTTTTAAGTGAAACGAAACTCACTTGTCGGTATAAAGAGTGAAAGCAGCTGCTATATCCCCCACATTGCGCACAAATATCGTTTTCAAAGAGGGGATCTTGGCCGCTGTAGCCGGTATCTCGATACGATCGGGAAAATCCAAGATCCCTCTCGGACTGATCGCTAAATCGTTAATTAAATCTCTTTTGATCTTTCTTTTTTTAATTTTTTTCTTCTAATATCTATTCAAAATTTTCAATCGATCTCGTTATTAAGAAGATATATAAACATATCTCACCTATGACAGGTATGATTATGTCTCCAATATCTGTCGCGAATTTTAACTGATATTGATAATCTTCCTTTCTCTCGGGCATGAATTTCACTTTGTAAGTAACGGAGAGACCAGGCGCGATCATCGTCGAGAAATTGGCACCACAAAATTCCACGGCGAAGAAAGGATTAGTCTCGTAGATGTTTTTCACGTATCTCGATACCTTTTTTTTTTTTTTTTTTTATGTAACTTTACAATTTTATTCACGAGAAGAAAAGTGGATCGCGTTTATAAAAAACGTTCGAATCGAATTACCGGCGTCACGTTTCGAATCGTCACCATCACGCTCAAGTACATGCCAGGGGTGAATTGTTGAAATACGACGATGTTGGGGCTGATGTGGAAGTAGCAATGCTCGCTATTCATGCAGAATGGTAATCTGAGCTTGTGCCTCCATTTCATAACGTATTGCGTCCTCTCCTCGGTTGTCATTAACATTTGCTTCACGTATTCCGATGGACGGCCAACGATCTACGATGGATACGAAGGATAATTACGAGTAATCAAGCTAGACGGGAGAAAAATTTCCTCCAACCTCCTCTTTGTCCTGCTCTTTCGTGTAGTATATATTTGAGTTGCGTAAAAAACAATTAATGATCTGCGTCGTATTAAATTCATAGAGATGATCGATTATTTTCCTCTTCGTTTCCTCCTCCATTCTTTCTTCGTTCCTCTTCTCCTCCATTTTGCCCGATACAAAACGATTTAAAATCTTTCTCTCATTCGATGATATTTTAAAAAATTCGCTATATATGTAGATATAATTGTCTGCGTATGTCGATAAGCAATTAACCTCTCCAACTTCACACAGATATCGATTATCGAAATTGAAACATCATCCTCCTATCTCGATTATCTTTCACGATGCTCAAAGACAAATTTCACAATTGAGTTTTTTAATTAAAGTTTAAACTCGATTAGGGGAAGCGGCAAATCACGCCACCACTTGATGCTCCAACCTAATATCGCTGATGATTATATATATATATACATATATATATGTGTATAGATTGCTTTGGCTCTTTCGGGTTTAATCCAAAATTAGTCAAAGTTTATCCAGTTTCGCGAGTTCTTGAACTTTGCTAATCGTCCCAAACTCTTGATCAAATTAGAAATTCACTTTGTATTCGTTAGACGGATGTAACGGATGTAGAGGATAACGAGGAACGTGTATGCAAATTCATGTACGCGAAATATTTTTTCTTTTTTTTTTGAAAAGAACAATCTATCGTAATTTTATTCTTAATTCTTTATGAAAAAAATATACAACATTGGAATACAACATTTGTCCTTATATTTCCAGAGAAATATTTCCAAAGTTCATTTTTAACATACAAATTGTTATATTATACATTTATCTCTTTAAATATACAATCTTTATCTTTGGCAGTGAACGTAATTAATAATTTGATATGTAAAATGACAATCTTCCTTTATAAGAACGATCTGTTGTATCGTAATTTCACTGTTTTTCCTTTATGAAAAAAATATACAACATTGGAATACAATATTTATATTGTCCTTATATTTCCAAAAAAATGTTTATTTTTAACATGCAAATTATTATTATACATTTATCTCTTTAAAAAAAGGTAAATATACAATCTTTATCTTTGACAATGAACGTAATTAACAATTTGAAATTTATATGACAATTTTCCTTTATACGTTTCATTAAAAAAAAAAAGAAAAAACAATTTTCAAAAAATTCTCAAGAGTCGATGGATAATAATTAATCAGTAGCAAGGATGAGGGCAGTTGGAGGGCAGGGGTGTGGAACAGGGTGACGGGCAAATTGGCACAGTGGTACAATATGGGGGACGACAGATATTTGCCAATATTTCCATGCAATACTTGGAACGCAATCGGGCGCTGACCGGGGAGAGGGGAGATTCTGGAGGATAGCCGACCGACTTGGCGTAATTTCTTAGGCAGCATACGGGCGGTGCTCGACACTTGGGTGGCTGTTGGGGTGGTGGATCACAGGGCATTTTCGACGTGGAGCAAGCATCGCACAAGCCTTGATAGCAACATATTCCTGGACAAGGCCCTCGTGGACAGCCGAACGGTGGGCATCTGATGTTGCATATTTCCGGTTCTGGTTGTCTGCAAGAATTTTTTTCTCTTTTTTTTTCTCTCTCTCTCTCTTCGATTCGAGAATAATACATTACAGTATATTATCTTCAATTTCTTTCCCTTCGAAGGGAAAACGAAACAATTTACCTGCATTCGATTTCGTTAAGTATCTGGAGCATCTCGTCCATGTAATTGTGATACCCGCAATCCATGTTTTCCACTAAATTTTTAATTGATCTTTTTCATTCACGGCGAATTTTATATTACATTAAGGAATTTTCTTTTTTTTTTTTTTCTTATTTTTCCGTAAATTTAGAACATTTTTGCTGTCATGTGGGGAAAAGAAAAACAAAAGCAGAACAGGGCGTATCGATATATATATCAACATCGTAATTTCGTTTCCAACGGCGTTAGAAATTAGAAATTATTAGGCGGGAGAGGGAGGGAAGGAAGGGATAAGAGACAAACGTACTTTTGTCGATGGAAGGTATTCCATTGGCAGACAGCAATCTCTAGATGAGAGCGAAATTCCGTGGAAACAGAGCGCGAGACAATAGCGCGCGAAGGAAGGAAGGAAGGAAGGAAGGAAGGAAGAAAAGCAACGATTCTAGCAACGAGGATGTACTTGGCTGGTCGAAAGGGAACAACTATCCGAGATGAATAGGACGAAATAGGACCTCGTGGACGCGTTCGTTATCGTTCCGAGTCGACGAGCTCGCGATACTTTTGCCTGTTATTATCTTTCTCAAAATATTTCCTCGAGACAAAAGAAAGATCGATGGTTTTAAAAAGGGGTTATTAAAAACATTTTATTCTCAAAAATTCATAAAAATCCAAACCACATCCCATTGAAATCAAGCAGAGTCACAGAATAAAATGACTCGTTGATTCAAAGGAGCGGGTTCGCTACAAAATAATTAAAAAATCACATACAAAGACAATAAAAAGTTCTTCTAAAAAAATGCACAAAAGACGTGCCAATCAAAACAAAACTACAAAAAAATAAAACGATGTAAAAAAGAAAAGAAAAGAAGTTTGTCAAATCATTTAAAATTTTCATTTCGTCATGATCCGCTACTGATTGGGCATGTAATCCTGTTTCCTGGCCAAATATCTCACACCCCCGATTGTTCTCGACTCGTGAATATCCGGCTGGCTGTAATATATCCTTTGATACGGTATCTTCCCATCCGCCACCTGTCCATGCATCGCCCCGTTATTCATATTTTCGCTCGCGTCACCGCCCGCGTGATCGAAATTCCCCTTGTTCTGCTCTATTCTTTGAGTCGATCCCATATCGCCCTCCCCGTGATTCCTAGCCAAATTTTTTGAATTTTGATAATATTGCTGCATCTGTTGATAATGTTGAGGATAATTCGCGTCGAATCTGTACGACGTCGAGTTCGTTCGTGGCAACAATTGTTGATTCCTTTCGTTGTAAGATTTGCTCGTGTTCTGCGCAACAGGGAATTGTTGTTGGGAGATGATCTGGTGTTGGAACTGTTGCAATTGTTGTTGCTGATCCATGGCCATCGAGCCATTCTCCCTTTCGGCCGGGACGCTGTAACACGTCCTCGGATTCGTCTGCTTCTGCCTGGGATACTCCCTCAAATACTCGTGTTCCATCTTCTTCAAGTTGGACAATCGTTGGATCGGCGGGTTGTTCGGATTCCTACTGTTCTCCAAACCGTTGGCGGATATTCTTTGAACGGATTGGGGCAACGCCGACGTGATCAAACGTTGCTGAAACTGCGAGTCCAACTCGTTGCTCTCTTGCATCCCGTTCAATCTCGCCACCCGTTTCTTAGGGGCCATATTGGCTATGTATTCCAATCCCTTCCTGATTTCCGCCGATATTCTAAACTCCTCCAATTGCCTCTTCGCCATCTCAGGCTCCTGCAATCCGTTGTTTCGCCTCTGAGGCCGGATCTCGTTCCTGTATCTGCGTATCTTCAACAAACTGGACGGCTCCGTGGACGGCCTTTGATCCTCGTACACGGCCAATTGTTCGGACGGTTGAACGTGTTCGCGATTCTGTTGTTGGGCAGCAAGAGTCTGATAATACTGCTGATACTGTTGATACTGTTGGGGATTGTAATATTCCTGATGAGACTGTTGATGAAGATGCTGGTGAGCGTGTTGATAAGGTTGCTGATGATGTTGATACGATTGTTGGTACTGATGATACTGATGGGGCACGTTTTGTTGTTGATATTTCATCGTCTTTATCGATTCGTTCACGTTGCCGGGACCTGGAACAGCATAAGGTCGAGCACTGTTATATTGCCTCGAAGTTCTCTGTTGCTGTTGCCAATTAGCCTGTTGCCGATAATGCTGATAATTTTGCTGATTGATGGCCTGTACGGGAACCTGTTGATGCGACATTTCGTCCATCGTCTGATATTGTTGATGCTGTTGCTGTTGTTGGTGTTGGTGCTGGTGCTGGTTCTGCTGTTGATGCTGTTGTTGGTGATGTTGCTGTTGTTGATGCTGGTGATGTTGCTGTTGTTGGTGCTGGTGATGTTGCTGTTGTTGGTGCTGGTGATGTTGCTGTTGCTGGTGCTGGTGCTGTTGTTGTTGTTGCTGTTGCATCATCTCTATTTCGCGAGATTCCCGTTCCTTTCTTCGTTGCTCTTGCATTCTCTCTATTTCCAGATAAGATAATCTCGGGGGTGTTAAATGAATCATCCATTCGGGCTTCTCGTCTTGCTGCTTCCTCTTCCGTGTCACCACCATGGGCTTCGTCTCGTCCAATATGTTCTCCTGCTGCTCCAGATACTCCAAATGCTTTCGTTGCTCGTTCAACAACGTTTCGAATTGCCTCTTCATTATATCTATCGGCACTCTTTGCTGCTTCATCGTGGCCAACAATTTTTCTTGGTCGCGTATCATTCCATGCGTGAACTTCAACCCCCTTTTCCTCCCGTGCTGATCTTGCATTCTCTCCGGATTGTTCTCCAAATGTTGCTGCTGAATCGGTATAATCTGTTGTCCGGGATTCATCTGCTGATTATACCCTGCTTGATTGTAGACCATCGCGTTCTGGTGTCCCTGTATCATCGGATTCCTGTACAACTGTTGTTGAAACGGTATCTGTTGCGCTTGCATTTGCTGCATCTGTTGAGGCTGCATTTGTTGTTGATACGCGATTGTATCCGGTTGATAGTGAATGAACTGCTGCTGCTGCTGCTGCTGCAGTTGTTGTTGTTGTTGATTCTGCGGCCTGTACAACGTCTGATTGCCGTTCACCACGTCCACGTTGTAAGATTTCAACTGTGCCTTGACGCTGGAATACTCGGCCAACTGATTACTATTATTATTGTTGCTGTTATTATTGCTATTCCTGTACAATCCATTGGCGGCGTTAACGGTGCTGTGGTCCTGTACGGGGTAATTAGGTTGCATCTGTCCCATCATTCTCAAATTTCTCATCTGAGTCGCGGTCGCGTCCTGGGGTGAAGTCATCCCATAATTGGGAGGTGCCGTCTGGCATCTTTGATTCCTCATCATTTGCATCTGATAGTTCATCGCCCTTTGCTGCATCTGCTGCTGCTGCGCCATATTCTGCTGCATCTGCTGATAAAGTTGCTGAGGATTCTGCACGCTCTGCGGATTCTGCGGAGAGTTTTGAGGATTTTGAAGATTGGCGCACGTCAGAACGTGATTATAACCGTGGGGATTGTTAACGTTTGCCTGGTTGGCCAACACGGCGAATTGATTCATCGCCATCGAACCGTCGCCAGGGAACGGGGGACTGTGCTGACCCTGTTGTTGCCTGTTGTTCATCACCAGTTGCCTGTAAAGCGCCGCGTTTCGACCTCCCACGGGCTGTCTCTCGTACGTATCTTCCTCGACGCCCGGCGAGCTCTTCTCGGTCTTCACGGTTCCTTGCTCCATCATTTGCTCGGACATGTTTCCACCGGCCTGCTGAGACGTCGCAGCTCCACGATTTTCCGGATTCGCGGAAATCGATTGAGCGTTCTTCTGGGGAGAAAATTCTCGGCCGCTGTGAGGCACGTGAGGACGATGAGACTGAAGGTTCGGAACTTGTTGCGACAGCATAGCGCTCTCCGAGTGCGGATTCACGTGACCGATCTGATGCACTACCTGCCGAGGTGTGACCTGTTGCTGGCTCATTGTGTGCATGTTCTGAAACGATTAATTTGTTAACTTTAATTGTATTGTTCTCGAAAATGTCTCCTACGATATTCGTGGCACAGAATGTTTAATTCGATCGATCTTTTCGAATAATGTTAAGTAAATTAAATCCTCGAATTTAACAGGATACTCGTTTCGAGCCAACGTTTCGTTTCTTATTTTATTTGAATTTTTGTTGCAAGTTAATTTTTTTTTTTTCAAAGAGTTAACCAGAATTTTCGATTGTTTTCAATAATTATTAATTATGAAATAAATTTAATAATATTATTAAATAAATATTATTAAATAAATTAATTCTCGGATATATATAAAATTATAACGTTCGTTTCTTGTTTTAAGGTGTTGCAAATAAATTACATTCGTTCAACAAGTTAACCAGAATTTTCGATTGTTTCAAATTATATTATATGTACGTTCTGAAACGATTAATTTGTTAACTTTAACGCGCTATCCTCGAAAATATGATCTATGAACGATATTCGTAATATAGAATCTTTAATTCGATCGATCTTTACGAATATTATTAAGTAAATTAATTCTCGGATATATATAAAATTATAACGTTCGTTTCTTGTTTCAAGGTGTTGCAAATAAATTACATTCGTTCAACAAGTTAAACAAAAATTTTCGATTGTTTCAAATTACATTATGCGCACGTTCTGAAACGATTAATTTATTTAACTTTAACGCGCTATCCTCGAAAATGTGCTCTACGAACGATATTCGTAGTATACAATCTTTAATTCGATCGATCTTCGCGTATATTGTTAAGTAAATTAATATATACACACATGTATACACATAGAGAAAGAGAGAGAAAGAGAGTTATAACGTTCGAATTTTCGGTTGTCTCAAATTACTTCCTATAAACAGAAGAATTTTATATTTCTCGATAGTAAACATTACCATATACGCGTATGTTTATATTTTGAAAGTGGATTCCCCCTCTTAATTCTTTCGTTCCACTCATTTTGGAATCGTAGCTCGAAGCGAACGTTTAACGTTTCTACTTTAACTTTTATATTTCGTTCGAAGGAAACGAGGTGTGCGCGATATTCGTTCTCGAATCGTGTTAAAAGTGGAACCGGTTAAAATTCTTTGCTTGCGTCTTCCGAGTGGCGAAGAAAGAAAGAAAGAAAGAAAGAAAGAAAGAAAAAAAGAAAGAAAGAAAGAAAGAGAGAAAGAGAGAAAGAAAGAAAGAAAGAAAGAGAGAAAGAGAAAAGAAATGATGGATTTACTTGCGGTTGATGTTGGTGATACTGATGCTGATGCAAATGCTGAGCGACAACCGTGGCGTCACCTTGGCCACTGTCGCGATTTCTCTCCGGACTCTTGGACATGTACAAGATTCCAGATTCATTGGGATCTTGTTGAGCGATCAAAGCGCCCATCGGCTCGGGACAGAACGACGGAGGTGTTTCCAACTTTTTGATTTTCTCTATGGGGAAGTATTTCAGCCTCGGGGAACATGACGATTTGACATCCTTGTTTCTATCCTGGGAACTGAATCGTGTCTTCGGCATGGAAACGTCCACGGATTTGTTGACCGGCGTATTAACAGCCGGCTCGGCTAGATTGTGCGTAGACGACACTCTCTCGGCTCGTTGAACATTTTGTTGTTGGGTGTCGTTCGCCTTTCCGTGTAAGTTGCCGGTGCTCGGTCGCCTGGACGTTCCTCTCTGTCTGCTTTTGTCCGCTGAAGTTTTCCTGCGCGAAAATATCTCACCGCATTACGGGCAAACCGAAGGAACGATAACCTCTCCCGCCCCCCTCCCCCGTGCCTCGATCAGCCCCCCTACCAGATCCATCG